GGTCCCTCAAAAGAGAAGGATATCTTCACCAAACCAAAAGAATAACAATCACAATTAATGAGATGAAGAGCAAATAACTTTTGTTTTAAGTTTCCAAGGAAAGCAAGAAAAAATTTGTCCCACTTCTGAGAAGGACAGATCTCCCACAAAAGCTCTAGAGAAAACAATAAGATACTTAAGAATAAGCCTCCAAAAGCATAAAAAAACCCTAAACCCTAATGGCTCCCTAATATCATTTCCCAAAACCCACTCCATGCCACCCTTCCTCACTATTCCCCCCCCCCCCCCCCCTTTGTGAAGCCGTCCGAATTCCAATGGGGTGGGCCCAAAGGCCACCGAAACTTTCCATGGCTCCCAGGCGGGTCTCGCCCGCCCTTCCTTGTCCGCCCGTAACCCTCATGGGTCCGGGTGGATGGGACTGGGTGAACCGCCATCAGAACATACTCATTAATCCATATTAACATGATTGAATGAAAATGAGGAAGCATTAATTTAGGAGAAAAATAGAAGAAGGTTGTTTCTGCTGCTTATGTACCTTCAAAAAATCAATGGTAAATGTTTTTTACAAAGGGGTGTGTAATTTTTCATGAAATTATTATTTCACTAAGCACATGAAGAGAATGGTGAAGTAAAGGTACTGTGGAAGGAAATTGTTGAAGGTATGGTCTATAGAGAAAATTCAGAGATTGTTGCTGTGGAGGAAATCCAGGACATATTGGCATGCAAAGCTTTAACAGCAAACAATTAGAATGATTGAATATTTAAGTAAAATTTATTATATCATATTTATGATTTCTGTTTTTCTTAATTCATCAATCATGGGCGAAAAACTGTTTTTTATTTTTATTTTTTTTGTGAGGTTATTTTCTTATTTTCTTCTTAGAAGAGTTTATATTCTTTGAAACAAAGGGAAAGAAATAATTCCAAGCAACTTTTTTCTTGACATTAATAAAGGAAAAAAAATATCATGCAGTTTAAATTCTTGTGTGGAAACCAAAATGTTTGTTTTTTCGTCTTTCAGTGAAGCACCCTTAGCCTTTGATCTGGAGTAATGATTCCCTTATGCATATTTTGTTTGTAATGGGGTCATTTGCGCTGTGTAGTAGTTTCAAATGACTCATTTGTGCACATGCAAAATTAAAGTATAAGATCACCCTTGATTTACCCTAGTGTGGGCATCCAATATTGTAAAATTAACAGGCACGTATGATTCTTTTTTCAATGGATTGCGGAGCATGAGACTGAATAGACGGGAAATGGATGACCATTAACAAACCATGGAACAGGAGATGGTGAATGAACATTACTGAATTTGTTCTCTCTTCTACAACATTTGCTGTTTAAAACATTTTGTTTACTTTCAGTTCATCAAAATTTCTATGCAGTAACACATTGACATGCTTTCTAGGAATCTTATGATAAGTCAAATACTATTTTGCCGGTTAATAAAAGCTTGATGGGTTGTAGTTGATGACTCAGCTGCTTGGTAAACTCGAAGCAGGAGCTATGCTCAATTCTCAGACTATTAGTTTGTTTACAAAAAAATATTAGCATAAGGTATGTTGGTTGAATTATGACATATTTTTATTTCTAGATGAATCGTGGGCCATTAAGCAGGTTTTGCAGTACATTATTTTGGTCAAACTGCAGAGGGAGCCCTAGGTTGTTGGCAAGAATTTAAAAAATCCAATTTCTCAAGGAAAGTAGTTGCTTGTATGATTGTATTAAGTTGAAAAATGTGTTAACTTACGCAGATGAAAATGAGATTTTTGAAATTACTCTGGTCTATTTTATCGTAAAAGGCACAACAAATTCAAAATGATATTTCCCAGGTTAGTGACATTCTTCCTATGTTTGAGGTTATTCCAAGCAAGGCATTTTTTCTTCAGTGGAGGTTGTATCACTATGTCATTCTGTTTTTTATTGCATTTGAAACATTTGTTTTATCAACTTATTATTCAAATGAAGATTTGTTAGAATTCTTGCTTATGGTAGATGAGTTAGAAGTGAGAACATTACCAGTATATCTTGATTGGACTCCTTGTTCTCTAGGATTGTGATTAAAAAAATTTTGATGTTATTTTTATTGCAAGTCTCAGTGCTTGAGATTTAATTTTATGTTTCAAATAATTCTGTTCTAAAATTTTGTAATGGATTCTTCAGCCTTTTTGGAAAGTGCTTCAAGAAGGTTCTAGTCGTGGGAGATGTGTTGTTGGTATGCATTTTGTAAATTTTGTTTCCCAAAGTTAGAAGCTATGAAATTAACGTGTTGCTAATCTACAGGAATCATTGAAGCAAATTTTATTGAGCCGGCTCATGACAAACAGGATTTTGAAAGAACACCCTTGTTTATTAGATTGGAGACAAAACTTAGACAAGTGATACTTGAATATTGGTATGTGCATTTTTAAACTGCCACATTTTATTTGTTCATGCAATCTTTCATAATTTTGTGCCATGCTTCCAAGTTTCGCCTTTTTTATTATTTTCTTTGCTTTATGGAAATATTAAGTGTTTTTGCAGATGCACTTTAAATAACTGATTTAATGTTTGAAGAAACCTCCTTTTTAAATCCATGGCTTAAGGCCATACAACAATCCTCTTTTTTTTTATTTGGTCACCCTAAGCTAGAATTAGGAAGCAGAAGGCTTATTGAAGTGGAAGGAATTATTTGTGGGGAAAAGAGGTAGGGCTTCTACAGAGGAATTGAGGGGATTAGGTTGTCCCTAATCCACCCGAGAGGTGAGAGAGGATTTGGTTGCCTTTTGCTCATGGGAATCGTGGCCTTTAGGGTTTTGAATGACCTTGAGATGTGTGCTCTAGGGAGATAGAGGAAAATTATTCAATTGCTTCAAGCTTAGTGCTTACATCTTATTAGTCTCATATTTATCGAAATGTAGGAGCCAAATTCATATCTTTCCCCGAATTCCAACTAAATGCGCTATTTTTGAACTTCTTATCCTAGTTCTTCTAAATTCTTTCAAATTAAGGATAACCATAGTTAATCTTAAGGGAATATTTCCTTGGATCTCTCCTTAAAGGTTGATTGACCATGTCGAAATAAGTGAAGCAAATTATGGAAAAAATATTGGATAGTTTCTTTCATTCCTTTATTTAAATCTCTCCCATCCTAATTTGAATGCCACTTATAATTTTTAAACTGTAATTTTGGAATATATTTCAATTTTATTTGTAAATTTAACCTTCCACTGTTAAACTTTCAAAAATTTTATCTATTTTATTGTTTAACTTGAGAGCATTATGGATAACCTTCACTCATACATCATTATGCAGGCTTGCATTGACATGTGCACTTGTCCAATACACACTTAACATGTGTTGGATACACTATTTACATCTCTTATTAAAAATATAAAAAATATTAATGGACAAGCTTATCCCACATATGTGTTCTGAATAATAAGTTTTAATTTAAAATTTATATTATATAAATACATTAAGCCATCTGTTCTCTTTTATTTGAAAAAAATATTGTTTAAATAATTTAATAGCTATTTAATACGAATTTTTTTTCTTATCCCACTAAATTTACCTATGATTTTTTTATAATGTTTATTTTTTATTTTTTTATTTTTATAATATAGAATATTTTCTGGACTTCAAGCTAATAATATGTAATTTCATATGTCTATTTCTTTTTTAATTAAATGTAAAGTATTTTATAAACTTAAATGTATTTTTTATTTTACAAGCAATTGAAATAAATTTATTGTATACTTATTTAATTTGTTTAATTACTAGAAAAGTTTTTTATTTTTAATCTATAATATTATAATATCGTGTACATTGCATGTCTGTATCTTGTATTTTTAGTAATATGCTTGGCTTGCGTCCATTTCATCTCGTGCATGTGTCCTTATGGTTTCTATTGGTGCATCATAGTCTGGTCATTTCTAGCTTATCTCTCATAATCCGTAGCACAAATGTTTTTGAATGCATATGTGTTTGACTTCCTCTTTGTTGTTCTTCATGCAATCTTTACTTTTCCCTTTTGAACTTTTTTCAGTTAGCATAGAAAAGCTTTGGTTAATATGTAAATCGTGTCTGTACATGTTAATGTAAGCTTGATTATCTGTAGCCACGGCAGATTTATATTGCTGTTGCGGTAAGCTTGTTTTGGTTGTTGAAACCTTCAGTATTTTTATTGTATATTGCTATAGGTTTGTGCTGATTTTAGTTTGGGATCATTATACCAATTTTAAACATTGATTTGAGTCAATTCTTTATTGGCCATGTCATATTAATTGTAGCCTTTTTAATATACGATTTTAAATGAATATGCATCAACTGCACATAGATAAAGTCATTAAAAATATTATTATTTTAACTTCTTGTTTATTACAATTTATTATAATTTTTATTAAAAGAAATAATATCTTTTAGATGCCAAGCATTATTTAAATATAAGACAAATTTTTGGTGTTTATGATTATTCATAGAGATATTTATAAAATTAAAAAATATTTTATTAAAAATCTATATCATTATCTCTATTTAGAATTATTATAGGAACATCAAAGAAGTTGTATCTATGCCACTATAACCTTTGAGGAAGAAGTTCGTTTGTTCATAATGCTTCTGAAAAAAAAAATTATGCATAAAAATATATTCTTTAAGTTAATAAACATTGTGAACATTGTCATTGTAATGATAATAATGAGGCTTTTAACAAAATTATAAATTTATACTCCAATATAACAAAAACAACATGCCTTTATCTCACTACGTGGGATTGGTTATATGAATAATTTTTCTTTATTATGTCTTATTAAGAGTCAAATTCTGAATTAAATCTAATAAAAAAAGTCATTTTTAGTATTTCTTATTAAGTCTTTTTTAAGGTCTACATTTATTTTTCTAATATTGGCCTGAACCAATACATCTATTCTCCTAATAGGATCATCAAAAGGATGAAGTTTTATGTTACTAAACCATCTATGAATCCCTCTAATCTTATCTACCATTGGAGCTACACCAACCTTTTCACATATATGCATGTTTGGCATTCTCTCTCTTAAGTGTAAAGCTACTCATCTCCCAAGCATCCTCATCTTTGCAACACTTAATTTTATGCCTCTCATGATTGTTCGACAAGTTATATGCTAGTTGTTGACTACCTAACGCAACTCCTCATATTTTTTCATCCATTGCTTGGGTCCCGAAAAATAAATTTATGCTGCAATCTTTGATTAAATAACTCTCTTAGAGGGCTAAAAAATGAGATGAAATTTAGAAGTTAAAAGTTTTAACATGCATATTACATTGGCAAGTGGTTGCTCAACTTCATAATGCGAGACAAGTAACCCTGATTGTTAATGAATGTTTAATTAAACTTTTGGACCTGGTTGCTAAATGTTATTTTCTTGATGAATATTGGGTAGTGATGTCTAGGCTTGTTGATGGACTTTTAGCCCAGTGGCGTGAAGTTAATTTGTATGTAATTGAAGATTTAGATGTCACATATCATATGATAGTCCAAATCGAGCTTTTCAAATGGCATTCTACTGCGAGAAGTGTTATTGGAAGATAAAACTCTAGTAGATCTGGTCAAGTCTTTGTATGTTCATGATCTATCGCTCAGCTTGTAGGTAACCCCACTTAATCCCATGTTAATGTTCTGACTTCTAGGAATACTCCACTTAACAAGGGAAAACCCCAACTTGATAGACCATTTATTCTAATTGCCACCAAGGAGGGCATACATATGGCTTTCCTTTGTCTTAAGAAAAATCTATTAATTGAGAAAGAAATGGAAGAGCATGTGAGCTTGAAGGAAATAATTAGAGCATGCTTAGGATTATCATCCCTTACCCTATAATCAAGAAGATATTTATGATCAATCTTTAATGGTGATAAGATTTTTCTATTATGCTCTGGTCACTTAGGAGATTGGAAATAAACAACCATTTTTACTTATGCCACCTGTTAAGATAAAATATACAATTGTGCAATCAATGGTGGAAACACTCTGAATGTAATTTTGAAATCTGGTTTGTCCAACCCATTGATGGCCTTATCTTAAGTCATTAGAAGTTGTATGGGATTATAAGATGGAGGGGAGTCTAGTTTCAGACTAAATTTATAATGTTCCTGAAACAAATAATGATTAACATCTGATAAACAACAACCATCATTTAATTTAGCTTCAACATCTTTGAAATGATCCCCTTAATTAATATTGCATATTTTAGTTTGGATTCTACATCAAAGATTGATATTTCAATTTTCAAATTATGAGAGTGAATTTAACTCAATTTTAGACTTATGAGACGTGCCAGCTATCATAATATTGTTGCAACAAAAAGTGGGAGATAACCCACTTATAAATTAAGGCGTAAATTGAGAGCTCATCTACAACCATCTGCTCAGACACATCTTCCTCTACACCTTTGTGCTCTAGCATAGGAACTGAACTTCGGGTAGATTGAGAAAGATTATTGATCAGCATCTCTTCAGACAATCTCTTAAGAATCTATGCCAGTGGTTTGCTATTCTTGATGGCTAAAAGTAGGTTCAATCTCTTTTTGAGACTTCATAGTCCACAGTTTATCACTCTTGCATCTTACATCAAGCTCGCCAATGCAATTGATCTAGGGGAGGATGGTGAGAAGGCCATGGTCTTTATGATGGCCAGTGAGGTTGAAGATGCATATCATAGGAACTACTGATAATCAAGCTCCTTCTCTTGCTTGTTGATGGAGAGAACGTCAGAGGAGATTTCTTGTTGGCAGATAGCATATAGCCTCTTAAATCAAGCATGATATCGGATATGATGGGTCGTAGTCAATGAACCAAATAAGATTTCTATATAATAATATCATAGCCATAAAATATGTAGCTCACTCTATCGTGCAAAACTCAATGGCTATTGGAAAAGAAGGATATGGTCTTTAAATCCCAATCTATGGAGAATAACGAATCCTCATTGTGTCCTAAACTAGTTGTTTGAATAAGACAAAATTTAATGGCTTGGATTTTTCTCTGTGAAATTTCATGAGGCTTAAATTATTTTCTTTGGTACCACTACTACTGATCTTCTTGATATGGATCATATTCCAATTTTTTAACTTTTTTTTAGCAATTGTTGTGATTGAAAACATTTTAGACTTGCATTTAAGGTCATATAAGCATTTTGGTAAACCATGTTCTATAGACCAATTAGTGTTTTAAATTGCCAAGTATTGCATATTGTAAACTCCGATAGAGCCAGTTCCTAGGTTTGTGGCTTGATTTTGTTTTTCATCTTTTTATCTTTGGCCAATCTTGTACATACCCCTTCTTTCGACAGCACATCGTGCGTTTGTAATTTACAAGATTTGAGCGTTAGAAAATTTTGAATCATTGAGCAATATATATATATATAGGCGTTTGTGATTCTAAAACTTATTGGCTGAGATATTCAAGATTGGCAAATTATGGAAACATGGTGTTGTAATGGATATGGCTGATTCCATTAATGTGTTGTGGTCACTATAGCATCAATGATGATTGTTGGCTGTAAACATGCTGTTGTTGGTCACCCACTAATTGAAGTGCCTTGATGCTAGGCTTCGGGAAGTGCAAATGACCTGGGCTTACATGGAACCTGATGCAATCAAAAATTTGGGAGAGGGACCCAAATTTTTTATCACAAATAAAAAACACTTCCTATTTAAAAGAAACTCACTAAAATACCCAAAAGGATACAAAATACGACAATTGAACCAAAACAACTTTATATTAGAAAATAAAATGACTTACAAACTTTTAAAATTATAACGACTTACAAACTTGACTCAATCACTTGACGACACCCTAAAGTTGCTTCACTTAAAGACGAAAGATACAAATGGAATGATCACCATGGAGAGAAGAAAGAGATTAGAAGCCAAGACGATGGTTGGAAAGAGCTCGCAAGATTTTCATAGAAGTAGAAGAAGAAATGGAACAAAGCTCTCAAGCTTTTTCCAATGAAGAACCTCTCAGGTTTTCTCTCCAAAAATCATAATCATCACTACTCTAAAACAGCCACAAAACTTCCTCTATATATAGGCATAAAAGAGGAATACAAACAGCCATTATAACCACTAATTAATTCAATTAAAAGGGGTAAATGAAAAGACAAAATTCAGTCCAGATTTCTGTATAGAAATCTGTCTAGAAATTTGTCCCAAAACAGCCCCAAAACCTCTTCAATTCCACACATAAATGGGGAATTGAAAAGACATTAGGTTTTTGTACATAAATTCCAAACGGCACAACAAACCACAAGGAAAAAGCCACGGTCCAGCAGCCAAGCACAGGAAACCAGGAGGCAAATCTCGGGTCCAACAGGTAAGTTCATTTCACGGTAAAAAGGGGGGCCATAGCAGTAAAGAAGGCAGCAAAACCAAAGGGTCAGCAGCAACCTGTGGGAGGAAAACCAGCAGGAAAACTGCAGCAGCCCAAGAGTCAAAAGGAAGATGAAAGAACAAGTTAAATTACATAAAAAGAGAAGAATAAGGGGGGAAGGAGAAAAGCCAAGATTAAAAATTAATGAGCTAATTTTTAGTTCAATAAATGAAATACAAATCAGCTCATAATGAGCTAATTTTCCACTTGACTTTAATGAGCTAGAGAAGTCAAAAATTAAATATTAGGATTTGATTTGACCCCCCCCTGCCTACATCAGAACCATACTATCATATTGTTGGTTGGTGGCCTTTTCGGTCACCCACTAATTGAAGTGCCTTATGCTAGACCACGGGAAGTGCAAATGACCTGGGCTTACATGGAACCATACTATCATATTGTTGGTTGGTGGCCTTTTTTTTCAAGAACTTCTTACAAATGCAGGGAAGTGCAAATGACCTGGGCTTTACTCTATGCATGTGTCAGTTTGTTTTGTATCTTTCCTACTAAGGGATTGTTTGGCTTGTTGAAAAAAGAATGCAGACTAAACTGGAATACAGTGTAAATGAAGTGCAATGTATTTGAAAATTTTTGACTTGTTTAGATGAATTTAAGAGAAATATAGGTGATTATTATTATTATTTTTTTGATTAGTTGAAGTAAAATAAATGCATTGTAAAGCTTAGAGATGATGATGGCTGACATCGGTGGAAGGTTGGTCGCCATCTTTTGGCGGAGATGGTGTGGTAGGGGATAGTGGTAGGCGGTGACAAATGACAAGAGTGAAGTTATCTTGTGATTTATTTTGGAATTCAGCCAAAAACGGCTTTGTTTTGAATTCATAAAAAATGAAATACGGAGTGAATTTGGAATTCATAAAAATTTTACTCTGCCTTCCTTTTTCTTCAAATTGTACGCCAAAATTTATAAAACCCTGCATTTGAAATATTTTACTTTTTTACACTACTTTTCATCAAACCAAACATCCCTTATAAAAGTTGGGATTTACGTAGAAGTGCTGCTGGAATGAATCTTGCAATATGGCTCATTAAAAAAAATAGTTTGGTTATAGTAACCTAGTAAATAAGATGTTGTAATAGCAAAGATGGATGAAGTAGAAAATATTAAGGCCTCATTTTGTTCGGCTTATTTTCTCTTTTTCAGGTTCAATAAGACAAACTGAGTTATTTTGAACTATTTGGAAGCATGGCTTTTCTATAATTCCTTTTCACGAATCTTGGTTTTTTATTGGTTATGAAAGTCATTTCATATCTGCTTATTCCATTACGAATCTCAGTTCATAAAGCAAATAGTTGAAATTACCCAGCACGTACGCATGTTGACCAAGCACATCTATGAGCTTTGTCTTCTCCGGCGGCTCGTCCAAAGAAATAACTTCGCAATTTCACAACTCCCTCCATCATTTGGGCTTCGACTTATTCCCAAACACCAGTTTACTTCACCAAGACAACTCTAGATTCCTCTCTGATTCGCACGCCAAGCCTGAACTCCACTCAACTCCTCCTGCCCAACCACTTCAGCCGATAATCCGCCGCTGATCGATTCATCCAACTTCGTCCCGACCCCAGCTCGTCCGAGCACCATCGACCTGTGCTCATCCCAGCCATCGACCCGACCTCCCAGCTGCTATACGATGTCACCACCATCACTCACTAGCCCAGATCCACCTCCAGGCTAAATCGCCTTCAGATTTCATATGCTTAAATCTTAACTTGCTTCAGTTATGAAGGCAACGTGGGAGGAAGATGTGGAGGTGGAGAAATGCCCTGGAGTTGGAGGTACATGGAAATTGGTGGATGGGGCATCGGGAGAAAAGCCCTGGAGTTGGAGGTACATGGAAATTGGTGGATGGGGCCATGGTTTAAAATTACGCAATAAGAGGCGCGCCTCAGCGCAATTTTAACATTTTAAGCCTCAAAGCCTACGCAATGAGAGCTGGCATTGAGGTGTATGCCTCAAGTTCACTGAGGCGCGCCTCTCCTCATTTTTTAGAGGCGTCCGTCTCTCAAAAAAAAAAAAACCTAAACTAAGTACATGCATTTTGCAGCTTGGTATCGCTAGGTACATACTCGGTATTGCTCGGTACCACTCGGTACAATAATGCTTGGTACCGCTAGGTACATGCTCGGTATTGCTAAGTACATGCTCGGTACCGCTAGGTACATGCTCGGCATCGCTCGGTATATGCTCGGTACCGCTCGGTATCTTTCCATACAAACAACTTACAAACTTTAAAAATAAGCAGAACTTCAAAATTACAGGTCGAACCACGCCAGGGGTAGCGCCCCCTTGGACCCCCAGTTACCCGGCTTTTTTTGTATTCACCATCTTTAATAATAGTTGTTAGTGGTAGTCTGCTTATTCATGAGTGTATGCTTTGTATAATTTTTTTTATTGTAGAATAAGTGAAACATTATGTTTAGGGGTTTGATATATTGCACTAATATATTCTTCTCATAAAGGATGGTCAGAAGTAAGGATAAAGCTATATCAGGTCATAGAAAAGATGCAGCATGGAAACATAGCGCTTAGGTGGATGTAAGAGGAAGTTATAAAACATATATCTATCTAAAATTATAATTATTGTGACAAAATTGTGAAGGGAAATTATTTCACATCATATATTGTGCCTTTTTATGTTTTATATTTTTTACTCATTAGTATATAAAATTTTTATCATTTTATGTTTACGCAATCTTTTGATTTTGAGGCTTACGTTTCAAAATGCATTTTGAGACTAAATTTTATCATTTTATGTTTACGCAATCTGATTAGCTACAGCAACGAACACGAATGAAAAATGCCTCAATACCCGATTACACAATTTTAAACATTTGATGGGGCATCGGGTTATGGCGATGTGATGTACAAGGGATTCGTGTTCGTTTCTGTAGCTAATCAGATTTCATGACTGATCTGTGGTGGTATGTTGTGCCACTTTTCTTATCATGTGAGGCTACATATCAGACATTTGATTGCTTGTTGCCTAGCTTGTCTATTAATTTAAATTTAAATTATAATACTTAAAATAACTATATATACATATTTATGTAAAAATTACTTTTAAAATAATAAAAAAATATTTTATATACTTAAATTTTAGAGATGGATAATTTAGTCTTTTATTCTTAAGTCGCTAAAGCTAAAAACCTAAACAAACAATTAATATATGCTTTCAGATTTTCATAAGCACTTAAAAAGAATGTTACTTAAACAATAACCTATTATTGAAACAGCCTTTTTAAAACTCCTTTTTGTCAACATTTATTTTTAAAACTACATTTTATATAAACAACAACCCAACCAAACGAGGCCTAAGAATACACAATGCAAGGAAGGATTAGGTTTATTTGTTGCAATGAATAACATTTGAAGAATCGGAAGGACCAACTTCAGCCTACTATTATTTTGCAAATCCAGGTGTATGCGAGTTCAATTTCATTATGATTTATGAAGATATGTAAGCATAGAAAGATCATTATGGAGCTTGTATAGAATCAGCTGTGAACTTTTATTATTGATGATCAAGCTATTTTTTTCTTTTATATTCTAGCTGAACTCAGGAATATTGTCAAGTTTATTAAATCTAGCCAATCCTGATCATGAACTTTTTATTTCTTTTTTTTTTTTTAACAAAAGTGCTTGTTTTGCAGGAAAGCTCATTGTCACTTGATCGGTTATCAACCAATTGCTCCAGAGATTGGTAATAAGCACAAAGAGGCTATCAGGCATTCTCGTGGACCTGGCAAAAACACACAGCAGAAGTCTAGTGGTCATGGCATTACACCTTTCCCTCACTCAAAGCATGAATATCAAGTTGAGACAAGCAATGGAGAACAAATAGTTGCCCTTCCTGCTCCTAATGGTACTATATTATTTGTGTGTGTATATAAATATATATGTATGCCCACACACACACACTCTCTCTCTCTAGGAATTAATGGAAAGTTAAAACAACAATAATCATTCAGATTGAACGAACATCTGAGTAGCTTGAGGGGTGATAGTCCTTCCTTACATAACAGGCTTGGCTCAATCAGCTAGAAAGTTGGCTCTTAATGGATCATTTCTTACTTGTGAATGGAAATAATTTTTCTGGATTTTGGATTGTGGCCAGCTCACTTGAACTTTGTCTCAACATCATGCCTTTCTTCAAGCTGTGTATGGGATTTTGTTGGTTTTGTTCTGGGTTTCAAGATTCTTTTTTTCTTCTTGCGAAATTTCAGCAACCTCTTCTTCAATCTTCTGAGCTCGTGATTTCTTCTTCCGCTACAACAACATATTTTTCAGTACTACTATTTGTTGAACCTTGTGAATTAGTTCATACTTGACTGAGCAATTTCTTTGGACCTTAAAAGTTTATGTTTTGTTAAAGTTTTTTATTTTGATTGTTTGGTTTATGATCCTTAGAAGGAGAAAGATACTAAAGAAGGAGAAAGATATATGTATAAGTTAGCCAAACAAAGAGATAGGAGTAGTAAGGATTTAGTTCAAGTGAAGTGTATTAAAGATGAAGATCAAAAAATACTTTTCTTAGAAGATGATATTCAACAAAGATGGATGAGATATTTTGCTAAACTTTTTAATGAAGATTGTGAAAATAAGATTGACTGTAGTGACCTTAGCACCCTAAATGAAAATAAAGATTTCTATTTTTATCGGCGTATTAGTAAAACTGAAGTTAGAGAGGCTTTAAAGAAAATGAAGGGTGGAAAAGCTGTTGGACCTGATGATATCCCAATAGAGGTGTGGAAATGCTTAGGAGATGAAGGAATTTCATGGCTTACTAAACTTTTTAATACTATTTTGAAGACTAAAAAGATGCCAGATGAGTGGAGAATGAGTATGTTAATTCCTATTTTTAAGAATAAAGGTGATGCACAAGATTGTGCGAATTATAGAGGTATTAAGTTAATGTGTCATACTTTAAAACTATGGGAGCGAGTTATGGAGCATAGGTTGCGGCGTGATACTAATGTTTCTCAAAATCAATTTGGATTCATGCCGGGTAGGTCGACTATGGAAGCCATACATCTAAAGGTTTTCGCTTGAGTAGATCTAAAACGGAATATATGGAGTGTAATTTTAGTAGTAATAGACCTACTGAAGGGATTGTGACTTTGGGCGATCAAGTCATTAATAAGAGTACACGTTTTAGATATCTTGGATCAATTGTTCAAAGTGATGGTGAAATAGATGGGGATATTATCAGCAGAATTCAAGTTGGATGGTTGAAGTGGAGGAATGCATCGGGCTTGTTATGTGATAGAAATGTACCCCTCAAACTTAAAGAAAAATTCTATAAGATGGTAGTGAGGCCTGCAATGCTTTATGGTGCCGAATGTTGGCCATTAAAAGAGAAGCATAATACTAAGTTAAGTGTGGCAGAGATGAGAATGCTCAGGTGGATGAGTGGCTTTACCCTTAGAGATAGGATACGAAATGAGCATATACGTGAAAAGGTTGGAGTAGCTCCAGTAGAAGATAAAATTAGAGAGAGTCGCCTTAGATGGTTTGGTCACATAAAACGACGGCCTTTCGATGATTCGGTTAGGACAGTAGAGGTATTAGATTTGACTTATGTGAAGAAAGGTAGGGGTAGACCTAAAAAGACTTGGTTAGAAAATATTAGGAATGACCTTTCTTTATTAGGTTTAAATGAGAATTTGACTTTTAATAGAACACAATGGAGAAAAAGGATTCATGTAGCCGACCCCACGTAGTGGGATAAAGGCTTGATGTTGTTGTTGTTGTTGTTGTTGGTTTATGATCCTTATAACTTCAATATTTCTTCTCCTTTTGATTTCATCGCTTTATTGAAAGTTCTACCTTTATGACTAGCTCTTACATATGCTTGGGGTGGTAATTACCCGAAGCTGTGAAAACAGAATTTGTGATACTAGTCAGATTTTTCTTTCCTCTTTCGTTGCTATTGAACACCATGTCGTTGTTTGCAATACAAGCTAAATAGGAAGAAGGGTTCATGAAAATCCAACAATACGTATATTAAATTTGATTGGAGAAGAAGCATTTTTATATTATTATTCATGAACAATAAAGATGTTTAAGATTGCACTAGTTTTTGAAGATTTAATTTGGTTTCATATTGGGGAGATCTACTAAAATAAATTTTGTGCTAAGAGAATTAAAGGAAAGTATAAATAGTAGACATTGGATCTTTATATAATTTTTATGGATCTTGATTTACATATGATTAGATATCACGAGAATTAATTTAGTACGGATTTAAGGAAGAAAGTTGTGTTAAAAATATGTCAAAGTTATCAAAGGTATATATGATGAAGCTTTGATTGACATTAGTATTAGTTGTTGATGTTGTATGAACTGAATATAGCAAAATGTGTGCAAGGGCTATACTGCATCGACACATGTGTGCAATGTTAACTAAGCAATGGTTGTCACATCATGGACAGTTGTGGGAAAAAAGCTAGTCCATGAAATTAGAATTAGGATAAAAACTTGAAATTTAGCTACTATTATCGGTAAATTAACGAAATTAATAAATACTATAATTCATAGTAAGATACACATTCTATGTATTCACGAAAGACTAAATGGGTTGGAGAAAAGGCTAAGGAGATTGTTAGTTTAGAATTTAAACTGTGGTATTCAGATAGGAGTCATACTAAGAATGATATAGGTTTAATTATTAATTGTTGACCCCTACGCATCAAATTACGCACAAAAAAGAGCAAAATTGGAGATCAAGTAACACGCGCGTCGACGTGATGCATCACTTCAACGGTCAAAAGACCTCCGATTACCAAACAGATTGTGTCATTGCAATCAGGATGTTGAGTTTACCTGAGTGAGGACCCCTCGCATTCAAAAATGGACGAAATCGGTCTAGAGGGACAACTAACACCCAAAATTGACGCGTGACGTCACCCAAATGACGTCCAATCGTAAAATGGATTTAGTCGTTGCGTTCAGAACATCGTCGACATCCAAAAATCGCTATCAATTAGTTCAATTGGAATCACCAGGCGAAACGGCATGAATCCTGAGGTGACAACGCTCAAATCGGAGAAATTGGCGCTCGACATTGCCCAAACGATGTCCGCTCACAAAACGGACTTCGCCGTCTCATTCGGAGCATCCATATATCCAAAATGAACAGTAATTTTGTTCAACAAAAATTGCGCAACGAAATCGACGCGCAAAACGAGACAAAACGCCCAAATTTTGAGAAATCATGTAGATCGAGGCCATTTTGGTTGTTTGATGCATTGTTGTTATCTTAAATTAATGGTAATACTAATAATAGTAAATTATTATTAACATTACCAACAAATGAAAGCTAAACAAAAATCTCAGATCACATTTAATCTCAAACAAACCTCAGGGGACTTGATTTGAACTCGAATGAACAAATACAGAAAACTCGATTTGGACTACATGGAACAGAATTCAAAATAACAAACAATGAACCGTTCTCAATTTCTCGAATGCACAATGAAATGAAAAATGCAATTATTTGAATAATGATTTAAAATATTTAAATGATATTTAAATGAACATCAATGAATGAGCAACAAGTATCAAAATAGTATTGTATGTAAACAATTATGACCAAGGCCCTCTGAACCTGGTGGTTTGCCTTCAAATAACTCCACTAAATTACGGTCATGGCCAGAGCCTGTATGCTCCCCAATGACTCTAAATCCTTGATATATGAATTAATAGGATTTAATTTATAGATCACGAAGCCCTATGTCTTGTAAGGTGGATTCAAATTTATCTCCTTAGATAAATATACATCCCAGGTCTATGAGGTACCCTTGGACGCAACCCATGGTTGTTGACAAGGATCCTCCTGTCAGGTTGGGTTGACTACCTCCTTTGACTAAGTAGACTAGTGATCATGATGGCTCGGGACGACGGAACCATGGGATCTTAATCAGGTCCGTCATCCATTCCCTCACCATCTGCTTTAAGTGCAGGGTGTTTTTAATTTTAAATATTAAATCTTCAAACACTTAAATCCATGCTGCTACTATATGCCAAATACACGTATCTCTATGTATTTGATTGGCGACTAACCTTAATCTAAAGTTCTCTCTCATTACCAAGAGGGGTAATTAACTATAGGGGCTTGTGCCTATAATAAACCAGAACTCATATCATAAAGTCCTCTCAAAATGAGGATGAAATCTCGGGGTAGTGTCTTATTCTCAACTCAATATGCCTTCGAAAAATTTACCTCAGAACTTAATTCGTTAAAACTCCCCTGAAAGAGGGGAGGCCGAGGTGTGAATTTTCAGAGCCCCCATTAATAAAAGTTTGAAAGATAATATTATAGAAATTAATAAAATTAGATATGCTAGTGTGTTCCCTTGAAGTGATATATTGTATGATTTGAATACAACGAAAAGTGCACAAGGGCTGATGTATCGACGTGCAGGTGCAGTGTTAACTAAATAAGGGTTCTCACATCAGGGATGAATGTGGACAAAGGTGCTAATAAATAAACTAGAATTATGATAGGAACTTGAAATCTGAGTACTTATAGGAAAATTAATAGAATTAATAGATATTATGACTCACAAGAGGATAAATATGCTATGTATTCAGAAAACTAAATAGGTTGGAGAAAGGCTAAGGAGATTGTTAGTTTAGGATTTAAAGTATGGTATTCAATTTCAAGTAGTAGTTGTACTAAAAATTGTATATGTGTGATTATTAATGCTATAGAAATTAATAGAATTGGTGATGCTAGGGTGTTCCTTGGAAGCAATGCGTGGTATAACTTGAATATAGATAAAAGTGTGCAAGGGTTGCTGCATCAGCGCACTAGTGTAGTGTTTACTAAGCAAAGGTTCTCACATCATGAACGGATCTGGGCAAACAAGTTAATCTATGAAACTAGAATTATGACAGGAACTTAAAATATAGGTACTCTTACTGGAAAACTAATAAGATTAATAAGTACCAATCAAACTTATGGGAAAATTTTATTAGATGTTGGTGAGACGAATGCTTTAGGGGCACAAAATATTGGCCATTAAAAGAGAAGCATAAAATTAATTATTGTAGAGATGAGGATGCTCATGTAGATGAGTGACTTTAAACTTAAAGACAAAATACAAAATGAGTAATTAAGTATATACGTGAAAAGATTGGAGTAGCTCCAGTGACAGATAAGATTAGAGCAAGTCACCTTAGATGGTTTGGTCACATAAAATGCTGGCCTTCCCTTAACTCTTTTAAGAGAGTAGATGCATTAGTTCCATTTTATGTTAAGAAAGTTTAAGGTTGGCCTAAAATGACTTGGTTAGAAAGTATTACAATTAAACATTTTTATTAGATTTAAATGAGAATTTGGATCTTAATAGGACACAATAGAAAAAAAGGATTCATATGTTCGACCCCATATAGCGGGATAAAGGCTTGTTATTCCCATATAGCGGGATAAAGTCTTGTTATTGTTGTTGAACATATAAAATGAAAGGTAGAAAATGCATCTATTAGGTGATCTAAGGTAGTATGAATGGAAGTTGATTGAGATGATTTGTGAAGAATATGTTTAGCATTATAGATATTGAATAGAAATTGTGAATTTATAATGAGAAACTCAAATAGTTGGGATAAGTTTAATGACGATGATGATGAATTAGTAACACTTAGTATTTAAGAGCATAATGCCAGTAAACATGGAAGCAATTGTTTTCTTACTATAGCATCATTGGCAATTGACATGATACTGTCTTGGAAGTTGGGGTTTTTGTTATGTTAACGGTTGTGGGATTACCTAGGCCTTAATTCTTTGAGTTAAGTCCTACTTAGTTTTAATCAATAATGGGTTGAAACTTTAGGCCAGGCCTACAAATTATTTTTATCAATTCTTCTTATCTGATATAGTGTGAAATCATTAAACAAAGCCGTAAAACCAGTCATTCATAATAGGCATGTGAATGAATGATTAGTATTGTGGGCTACAGAATCTTAAATCTTATGCTGAAGCTTATGGAAGTTTGCCCCCTCAGTGCATTAATCCTCTCAACTGCAGGGTGTGGGTAGGGTTAATGTACATAGCTTTATCCAATGTAGGGGTGTCAATTTCGGGTCACGGGTCGGGTTCGGGTCGAACCCGAAGCTGACCCGGCACTATTCGGGTCAACCCGAACCCGACCCGTTTTTAAAAACGGGTCGGTTTCCTTGACCCGAACCCGACCCGCTTCGGGTCTGGGTCAACCCGACCCGACCCGAATGACCCGTTTTTAACCAAAAAATTGCTAATTTTCGGGTCAAAAACGGGTCAATCTCCTCTTTTCAGGTCAAAATCGGGTCAAAGTCGGGTCAATCTCGGGTTGGCGGGTCAAAATCGGGTTTTCGGGTCACTTTCGGGTCAATTTCGGGTCAAAGGGTTAACCCGAACCCGACCCGATTTTTGAAACGGGTCGAAATGTTGAACCCGAACCCGACCCGTTTCGGGTTCGGGTTGACCCTAACCCGAAATTTTCGGGTCGGGTTCTGGTCGGGTTTTCGTGTCGTGTCAAATATTGACACCCCTAATCCAATGCATGGGCTATGATATATTAGGGCACGTTTGGCATGCTTGCTGAAACATCCATGTAGTTAAATCTAGTTTCTTTTTTCAAGTTTTGTTATTAAGTTTGAACTCTTTGCTGATGGACTGCTTATTTTATATTTGAGATATTATATGTTGTTCTAGACGGAATATCAAGCAAGTTTTGTTTCTAAATATTACAGGTGTGAGTACTTTTTTATTCTGTTTTGTATTGTTGGCTACTGAGCAATGATAGCAAAGTACTACTCTCAATATATCTTTCTGAAGTTTATTATGATACTGATTGGTGTACCTCCCTTTGGAGTTGAAAAGGTTCTCCAGCAGCATCTTTTGTTCAAGATCCTACTCGTGGTTCTATAATGGAGGATGTGTCCGATTTTGGACAGGTAATGCCCTTCTTAGCACTTTTTTTTTGTTTCTTTTGAGTTTATATGTGAATGAAACTTTGTCCCTTTTTAGCACTTGGAAAGAATTATGATAGAAAGTGGATGCAATTTTCTCAAAATCAGCGAATGACAATAAGAAATTTTGAAGAAAAACACAACTATTTTTATTACAAGATATATGAAAGAAAATAGCAAGATACAATTGGATCTTCAATTGAAGAGGAAGATTCGGCTCTCCCAAATTCCTAGCCACCTGCTAGAGCCCAAATAACCTAAGAATAAACTAAATTCAGCAAACTCCCAAAAATAATTTGAAATTACCCTATTGTTAGCCTTAAATAGGCTCCCATAATTCCCTCCCAAATCAGCCCACTTTCCCTAATTAAGTCCCTTTCATATTTGAATTCAAATTAGATTTATTTCCCTAATTAATTCCCTCACACTTATAATTAGAACTTTCCTAAAAAATTCCCCTTAATTCCTCCTAATTTTTCCTAAATAATTTCCTCTTAGATTTTGAATTCAAATTAGATCTCTGGCTTAAATATTCCCTCCCAATTGTAATTTAAACATTCCTAAATAATTCCCCTTTGATTAAAAACCTTCATAAACAGTTCCCTCTTGATTAATAAACTTCTTGATTCCTTCCCAATCAAATCAGCTTATCCATCAAATTATTTGTTATATTCTTTTATATTCTTTCCTGTAATCATTAATAGTGGAGTTTCACAAAAGATTATTTTCTTTCTTTTTCAAATTGGTAATAGTGTCAAATTTATGTTTGTTGGGTTCAACAATTTCTTTTGATGGTCTCGCTTTTATTGATCTAATGCAGAGCTCTGTGCATTAGAAAATACAAAACATTCATAAAGCTAATCTTAATAGACTTGAAAGTTTAATTTTGATCTGATTATTAAGGTATCCCTTCTTCTTTTTTTTTAATGTGAATGAACGATATTATTGCATTTTGTTTGTTGTCAGCAATTTTTCAGTAATTTAATTTATGATAAACTTTCAATTTTATGAATAGTTTTAATACTAATATGCATGCATATATAATTTAAACTACCAGGCTGACCATTTTCTTATTTTGGTGTAACCTGTCATCCAATTTAGAAGTGTTGACCTACTATTGTAGTAATAGTTTTTAATCTGATATGTATAGTTCTTCAAAAAAGAAAAGAAAAAATGTTTAAATCAATCGCTATTACTACTAAGACGTTTGTTTCTTCAATATTCAGTAGGGGAAGTTACGAAATGCGTAGACATTATAACATTTAGCCAAATAGCTCTATATAGGAAGGTACAATAGATAAACCCATTGTTGTGCATAATTGTTGTTAGTATTCTATTCCTATGCATATTCTACATTTTTTTATGGATATATTTGTGTTTATGGATCGTGCTATTGGGAAGATGCTCCTGCATGTGTGACTGATAATATCTTTGGAAACAATGCTTTGGACCTTCTTTTTGTCCTATTGAATAAAATTGAAAGAATTTTCTGTCTCCCAAAATCTGAAAAAAAAAAAGGTTTTTCAGGTGGTAGTTTGATTCTGATGGTATCATAGTGTAAGTAAATACATCTTTAATGCGTGATTTTTAAACTATCATCATTTTTTTCTGAGATTATGGAACTCTTTACATGATTCATGGCTAAACATTTTTCAGTAGTCATGGTCTATACTCATGACACATGAGAGGGTGCATGTTGCTTTCGTTTGCCTTGCAGAAACCTGTTGTTTGCTCTGCATAAAGAAAGAATAATGATTTTAGTTAGCCTCAACCCAACTATCTCTGGTCATATTTAGGAATCCTCCTCCATTCATATCTATTTAGCACTAAATTTGGTGTTATTCTATTTTGTATATCTTTTTGTACATCTTATCATGTTACCCTCAATCCATTTCGCATTAATTCTATGTGCCCACATTATTTGTAAAACTTCCAGACTTTTTCGTACATATACAAACAATCAAAGTCTATTTTCTGCTGCTTTACAGACTAAAATGATTTGATCATGTAAAATGAATAAAGGGTGAAAAATGCATCAATAGGCTGGCAGTTTTTTGAATTAATTTATAATATTTATGAAAGAAAAAAAAAAAGATTAAAGCAACACTAGTTGTGTAAGACAGTTGATATTTCATAAATTATCAGCAAGAATGGACTCATAAGAGGATTCATAAGGTTCACTCACATGGTTGGGACGAAGCTAATGTTGATTTTTTTTTTATCTTTAACTATTTGTTCAACTTACCGCTTGTTTCCATTCTGAAGAAAAACAAATATATGGTGACTAAAAAAAAATATTTGTAACCACCCATTGTGATTAGTATAAATATTTTTTGGTTGCAAGTGCAAGAAAAAGTGAGATGAATCTAAAAAAATGCACTCTTTTTAACCAATTTTATGCAAATGATGCTAATTTGTTAAATTGCATTCTAATGCAAAGATTAATATTTTTGATGAAATTTTCTTATTTTTGCATGATTTTGAACATTTTAATATTTTGTATTCTTCTCAGGATCATGAAGAAATCAGCTGTATAGATGTTGAAGATTCAAATTTGGATGAAAAAATGGTTGAAGAAAATTTGCAACTCTTCAATAGGTAGCTACCGGACCATACACGAAGTAAATTTATTTTTTTCTTCATCCTTGTCATTGAAAATATCTCATACAATCACCATACCTCAACTCTTATATTATTACCATATTTATAATGATTGGCTACATAGGTTTAAACTTGATGTTGATGTATTGTTGCTCCCTTAAATCTCTCATTGAGGTGTTGATCTGTGTTAGCCATGATACTAGTTGAATGCTAATAATGGCTGGATCTTGTAGGGTTTGGATGGTGGGATGATTCTGTGATATTATATGGATGTTGATGGCTTAAAGTAGATTTGTTCGGATCAGCCAAATTAGGGTTTCTAAGTTGGCCGCTTGAGGGTGGGGGACGAGGAAACTACAATAAAATACAGTGGTAAATGAAGGATCTCACCAAAATATCATCAAATAGAAAGAGCCACGATGCCACTTCTAAAGCTCAAGGATGATTGAAGCTCTAACCAAAGAAATTCAAAGGAGAGAACAAGCCACTAAATTCTTCAATAACACTTTAAGCAAGCAACAATTCAATATTATTTTTTCAATGATATTTATGGTTATATAAAACTTGTATGTATAGTGTATTACAAAGAACAACCTAAGCTAAATTAGAGTACCTAATCAATACGTAGCCCATAACATAATATTTGATTTCTAATCAATGATGTGGTCAGCCATGGATTATATCGAATGAGAAAGGTATACATAAAATAAGCACATGGTGCATTATAAATTTCTAATAGAGGGTTTGACCAATACTCATTTAGAAAGCAATTTGTCACTTGATTTAACACATTTAGAGCATCATTGAATGGAGAGGCCATATCGATCTATCATAACTTCATACTCACCAAACATTTTATGATCATCTGGAGTTGAATTTTTTTGGAACTTGTATGGATTGGTATTTTCCCGAACACTAAAATCAAGTGAAATCATCTTGATATTCCAGTTGCTGCTCCCGAATGGAAGCATAAAAATGTTACTTGTCTGCTCTTTCCAACATATCAGTCCTGTTATGTTATTACCAATGTGCCAATGCATTTACGGTTTTGAATTTAGTCTTGCCAACTATCTTTTAAAATTACATGCACTAATTAATAAACTTTGTAAAGATAAAGAAAGAGGTATTAAGAGATTCAGAAATTTTATATCAGTTTTGCCCAATTATTATATTTAAGTGCGTTCGAGTTTGGGTTGATGGTGGAATTAAAGCCACTCGACAACTCCTCTATTCGTCATACAAACTAACCTCATTCTATTTGGCAGGTGTGAGCAGCTCCAGCTCAGGCAGGCTGAGCTGAAACAAACGGTATTTCATTATTTTTTTACTGTTTAGTAACTTTTGTGTTAGTTTGTATCGGTTGAAATACTCTGAAGATTATAAAATTTTGCTTCTTTTGAAGGTTGGCGAGCTCGAACGAGAACTCGAAAGGGCCAAACGACGGTGTACTCGACTTTCTTCTGAGCTTGAGGAACGGAGAAAGCAGCAAAACCCCATGATGAGTATTCACTAGTACCTTTTTCGTTATATGTATTACTGTTAAATTATTGTAGCTCAGAAGTGTGTTTCATTTCTCTGAATATTAGTATATGATCTAACAGTTATATAGATCATACAAGATAAGATTAACCCTCTTGATCATCTTCAATAATCTACTCAATATATTTTTTCTTTTTATTTCAAAATTTCTGTTGCAGCTTAAGATGTTTAACTGTTTTTGTATTTTAGAAACTTTGTTCTCCACCACAAAGTCGATGAAGCTAATGCAGGACCTCTTAAGTTTCCACCATGCAACATATAAAGTCTGCCACTAGTGTCTATTAAGAAAATTAATACATCTTTACAAATCGTTTAGGACTTCATATTCTTTCTCATATCATGCACGTTGTATTATTTTCTATATAACTATGGACATAATATGATTTATAATGGGGGGATATCTTGTTATAAGGACGAACACGAAATGAAAGTTTCACTGCTCTTTATATTTTGTGATCACAAATCACAAAAATAGGAGGGCTAACATTTGAACTAACTCATTTACAATAACTGTATGATCTTCTAGCTTATCTTCGATGTAATTATCATCAAAATTATGCATTTCCTCTTCAAAGCTGGGCAATTTGTGTTTGTGCTATTTGCTTCTTTCTGTAGAAGCATATAATGTGTTTTAAGTTGGGGATTATTTGATTGCCTGAAAAAAGAATGTAATATATAGAGAATGCAATGTAAAAAGAATATTTTGGAGTTCTTTGGATGAGTGTAAAAGGAACGCATTATTTTACTTCTTTTTTTTTAAGTGAATGCAATGTAAAGTTGGAGGGCAGCGGTCGGCCGTGGTGGGCGGTGGTAACGGTAATGGTGGTGCCACAGTGTGAGATGGTGGTTCTGGCGAGGGTGGTAGAAGAAGTGGTTGAGGTTGGCTGCGTTGGCTGTTGGCGTTGGTCAAGCAAGTGCGCGAGTGGTGTAAATCATTCTAGGCCAAAATGGATGAGAAGGTTGTATCTCAAAACTGAACTAGAAAGGAGTACAGTGTATTTATTTTATTTAATCTTGAATTTGTCACCACAAAAATGAAAAAGTATTGTATTTAAAATATTGCATTTGAAATATGTTGGACTTACTTTTTTATTCATCCAAGCAGCCCCTTAACTATGAAAAATTATTACATCCGGTAAAAATACCGAGCAATATCGAGCATACCGAGTGTATCGAGCGCGCTGTACCGAACACTTTAATGACGTGACGTTTTGTTATTGGTTTTTGGATGCATTCGGTAACCTGACGGAATAATTACTCTTTAACTATAGACTTAGATATTTCAGGATTAAAACTAGCCATTTTCTTAGTAGATCTTCGTGAACCGGTAATCCTGTATGTGGCTTTTCTTTTCTTCTCTTCAATGTCTTCTTATAGTTTCAAGCTTTTTGAACATATTATGAATCGCTTCAAAAGTCTATTAGAATCGAACATAACGAATCTTCATTATTCAAATCATTGTTTGTTTTTGAAATATAATTTTTTAATATTACCAATACATATGACCAATAATACTATATTGTTCACAAAAATCCCAAAGAATAATATCAATCAATATGTGTATTTATATTATAATCTTATATTATATAATTTATCATATATTTGATATATCTTTCTTTAACTTTTATGTATTAAGGTTTAGTACGTAAGCTCCTTTTCAAATTTTCACTATAACAGTAATAAGCTCTGACACTCGGTTGCTGCAACCATCTGAAAGTTAATGGCATTGGCTGAGCTCATTGCTAATGCATTAAGGTTTCGTTTGGGACGGATTTCTCACTGATTTGTAAAGCATCATTTTAGTATAAAATATAAAAATTTTTAACTAAAAAGTTATTTTAAGCAGCATTAATAAAATCGTCTCAAATGAAGTCTAGGCTTAGTTTGGCTCGTAAAGCATCATTCTAGTATAAAAATTATTTTTTATTAAAAAATTACTTAAAAGAAATAGAAAGAAAGCAATCCTAAACCAATTCTAAATCAGATTCCCTTTGCAGTATGGGAAAGCAAGAGGCATCAGCCAGTGATCAACTTGATCTTTGTCATTTTATTGCTGGTCCATGGAGATATGACATGTCTTTCACAACAACCAAAACATACCTTAATCAGAAGAATTATTGGGTTGGGTGATCGGAGGCAAAAAATAAGTTCGGACATCCAATAAAAATTTGCCGCGTCACCTGCGCTTTTGACTGCGCTTTTGATTTGCGCTTTAGTTGCGCTTTTTGACTTGCGTTTTAGTTGCGCTTTACTTACGTTTTAGTTGTGCTTTACATGCGCTTTAATTACGCTTTACCTGCGCTTAATTTAAAATAATATTTTATTAATATTCGGACCTATCTCCGCATCCGATCACCTGACCCAATAATTTGCCCTTAATCAGAAGAATTAAATCCTCCTCATTCCCTTTGCACCCGGGACCATTAATTTGGCGTTTTTTGTTCACGTCGACTGCACAAAAAATTGCCTGTCATTCTCCTCGGGGAAAATCACGCCAGCAAACCCTTTATTTTACTAGAAAGCCGTATGCAAAGTAGCTGATTCAATCAAGAGAAATTTCTCATTTAAAATCTTTCCTCAAGGCTCAATACCTCTGCTATGGGATGATTAGCGTAATGACAACTCTCTCAATGAATTGTTAGACCATTCTTCTCTAGCTATCTTCTCTCTTAATTATAGTTATTTAAGCTGTATCATCACTGCTAATTGGCATATTTCTCTTAGGCTGCCTAAAATATATTCAAAATGACATTCTTGCCATTACAATCATTTCAAATCTTGCTTGTACCTTAAAATGTCATGGCACTTTTAAAGCTTTCATTGATGGCTTTTATGAAGGTTAGCTGTTTGATTTCATTTTTGAGTCAAAAGTTCTACTAGTTGATAATTTGTTGCTCACTATATTATATTTGGATGGAAAAAAATGGTAGAAGATTTAGGTCTAACAATAATATTATTTCTACTATTTCGTTCACTATCAAAAAGCCATTAGATCTGAAATTGTCAGCTGGAAAAAAAAAAAAAAAGAATGTTGTTAACTTAATCCCTTAAGATGATGCTTCTTCATTTCTTCGACAATTTTTATTTTGAGTTTTTCACTATGTATTCTAAGCTTCTATTATTATGTTGTCTTTGTCTCTCTTCTCAATTATGAATCTCTTCTATTTATGTCTCCCAAGACACTGGATTGTGGTCACTTGAATCTTTATAATATTATCTTATGTGCGACTGATGTTACTTCATGTTTTAACTATCATTTCTCCCTGTGGTTATTTGTTTATATTCTATTGGTTGGGAGTTTAATGATGGCAGGGTTGGACGATGAGGAATGTATATGTGCTCCTTGTAGAGTTCTTTTTCAGGCTTATTCCCTTTGAAAGGTCGACATGGCAGCCAAGCCCTTATCCTTAGATAAGAATTTCGACAATGAGAGAGTGACTTCATTTCTTAAGAGTCTTTTTGCAGGGCTTTTATTATTTTCTATGTGTTTTTCTTGTTTTAATTTGCTCTAATATTGGGCATAAACTTTTTGATGCATCCCTCTATATCTTCTTATCCCATTGGGTTGTACTTTTATATCACATGATATAATTTTATTATATAGTCAATAAAATTGAGCTAAGGCCCTAAAATTCATATTGATTTTTTATATTTTGCTAGCCAGAGAAATGTGATGAATTTAAGATCATCAATCGATGGGTAAAACATCAGTAATATTTTCATTTGTCATGCGAATTATATACGTAGCGCTACGTGTGAATTATGATTGTACACAATTATGCATTTGCTGTGTATTAAATATAAGCTGTATACTCGCTTTATACAACAAATTGACTACAGAACAAGCAAATACCAACCGAAAATCTCATTTTGCACTCCAAAATGCAGTGAAACTAAAAAATGCCATGATTCATCTCCAATCGAACTCCATTTTGCGCCCTTCTGCGAAGATAATAATTTCCTCCTCTTTCGCACATTTCTTCGGCAAATCGAATAGAGACAAAAAAAAGTAGCATAGGTGAACAGTACAACACTAATATTGATGTCGCACTGTTGGAGCTCGCGAGACGCCATCTCTGGAAACTACAGCTCCCATAGTGCGCCCATCACGCTCGCAAGAGGAAACAAAAATCAAGCCGTAGCGCAGACGACGCGCTCCTCGGCGATGCCGACACCAGTTGAAAAGAAGCGCAAGCAAAGGAATTTTCGAAAGCCCTGACCAACAATGTGGACACTTTCACCTCCAAAGAATTTACAGAATTTGTGGACATGAAGCGCGGGAGAAAGGAGCGGAATCTACCTGTTCTTCCGTCTGCTCGGCAGCCAGCCGAAGACGAAGCAGCAACGAAATGGAAGCAGACCGGAATCTTTTCAGTGTGTTTCGCTAGAAGGAGGACAAAATTATTATTTAATTTACTGAAAATATAATTAATTTATATTATTTTACATTATTTTTTAAAGTTTTTTTAAGTATAAGATATTATTTAATTATCTTATAAAATTACTAATTAATTTTTTTTTTTGGGGAAATTTGGGGCAAAAGCCCATCTATTATTATTTAATTATCTTATAAAAATACAAATAAATTATACATCCGCAAATGTGAATGACTTTGCTAACGTGGTAATTCGTCCTACACGTGATATAACACTTTATTCTACTACTGCTTAGCAGCTTTAAATGGACAATCAGATTAGAGTTTTTAATCTCTATTTGGAGCAATATTTTAGAATATATACATTCATCAAATTCAATTATAATTTTATTTAATTATTATTATTTTGTTATTTTCTAAAAAATTTTGAAGACTCGGTCCATCCGGATCATGTCTGTCAGCTACGTAAAGTCATATACGCCCTAAAGCAAGCAAAGCGACAATGATATAATACGGTCACTATGCATCTTCTATCTCTTGGGTTCTCACATAGCAAATCTGAACCGTCCCTTTTGATCTTTAATCAATCAACTACGTGCATATTTTTTCTTATATACGTAGATGATATACTAGTAACCGGAAACGATCCCTCAGCCATCAATCATTTACTACTTCAACTTAACGCTACATGCTCAATGAAGCATCTTGGAGCTGCTCATTCGTTCCTCGGAATAAAGATTCACCTTATGAACAATCAATATTTATTATCTCAACAGCAATATGCCAACTCTATTATTTAGCTTGCTCATTTAACTAATTGTAAGTCGTTAGCTAACCCAACATTACCACAAGATATTGTGGAAGATCCTGTTCTTTATGACCCTATCACATATAGAAAAATCACCGACTCTCTTCAATACTTAACTATTACACGACCTGACATAGCACACTCGGTTAACATTCTTTCTCAACACATGCATATTCCTCTTCCTAACCACAATTTTCTTCTAAAACGACTTTTTCTTTACATCATTGAACTCAACACTTTGGTCTTCTGATAACCAAACATGATCTTCAACTTCACTTGTTCTCGGATGCTGATTGGGCAAGTGATCTAGTCTCAAGAAAATTCACATCAGGCAACTACACATTTCTATGTACTACACTCATTTCATGGACGATCAAAAGGAAACCAATCATGGCAAGGTCATCTACAGAATATGAGTATAGGGCTCTTGCAGTAGCTATGACAGATATCATTTGGCTTCGCCGGATCTTAGCTGACTTTAACATACAACTAGAGCAACCCACAGACTTATATTGTGACAATACGTCCGCTATAGCTCTGACTAACTGTCACGATCCGACCCGACCGGAACGAATCCCGCTCGCATTGAGTCGAGACGAAACTTGAAATCCAGGATCTAGTTTTGGAACTTGCTTCAGAACTTTCTTCCCGATATTCAAACAAACAGACAGAAAATACATAACTGCTAAAAACATCCAAATATACAGAAATGCATCCACTATTTTTTCCTTCTTTCTTTTTTTTCTCATCAAAATAATCATGTACAATACAGTGCATGGCTATAGATGGAAAGAACAGAACAGAAAAGTCATGACTGTACAAAAATTAAAAGTACAAAATGCCTAATCACAGATCAGACAATGAACTTCTAGTCTAAGACTTCCTTCCCTTTCCCAGATTCTGAAAACCACGCAGAAAACAAGGATGAGCTAACAGCTCAGCAAGACTACACTCACCAATCCAAATCTCCAGAAATTTACATCAGAAAATATATCAGAAGCAGATATTCAAATAGCCGTACAGAATTCAAATAATTGTGCAGAAATCGTATAGTCATAAGAATACAAATACTTGATCAAATAGAAATCAAATCACTTACACAGAAAACAGAATTCACTTCATAACCGAATATTCAAGTCAGATTCACAGAACATACAAAATCGTACAGAACAAACATAATAGTACAGAGCATATGTCAAATCAGATGAAATCACATTTCAACATCAAAACACATATCAGATTTCAGATTCCCACACCCTTACAGAATCTCTACGGATTCTGGCCCCTTATGCCTCCCTCCCTTGACACTAACAGAATCTCAACGGATTCTGGCCCCTTATGCCTCCCTCCCCTGACACTGAGAGAATCTCGACGGATTCTGGCCCCTTATGTCTCCCTTTGTGCTTGAAGCACCATAAGAGAACAAATATACGAAATTTTCAAAACAGAACTGATTCTCAGATTTTCAGATTTTCCGGACCCAGACAACATAATCCCAAAGGATTCCGGCCCCTTATAACCCCCTTTTGATATCACAGCACAACAATTCATTCAAATCAGAAAATCAGAATTCGTCAGAAAAATCATCAGCGGCATAACGACAGTATACGGAATTTTCCAAAAAATTCACAGTTTCAGAAATTTACCAAATTACCATAGAGAGTACACAACATTATTCTAAGACTTTCATTGTACTGAAACATTAAATTCAGACATCCAGATAAATTGTTATTCGATCAAAACTCCGCAGAATTCAAAATACCCGGTAAAAATATTCCAGAAAAATACTCAAAATGTGCACAATTATCATCTCAAAAACATACCAAAAGTTACGCGGTAAAACCTTTATCAGTACAAAACAGAATCAATTATTCGCTAACGGAAACAAAATCAGAAACAGAAAAGTCGTCAAAATCCTCTTTTCTGAAAATTGAGAAAGGCGGAATGTGTCTTACTTCGAGTCGGTCAACTTTCTCAACTGCAGCTACAGACGGAAACGGACAGAAGTCGCCCAAAAAATCACTTTTTCTTCTTTTTCCTTCGAATTTCTCTCTCATGGGCTTTTCTCTCTCTTCAAAAAGATCTCGTTTCCATTTAAACCCATGCAGATCGTCTTGGACGATCCCAAATCGTCCCGGGACGATTTGCTCTCGGGAGGCATTTTCGTCCATACGAACCCTAGTTCGTCCTGGGACGAACTTCTCTGCCAGAATTTTCTTCACAATCTGTACCGATCGTCCCAGGACGATCCAACTTCGTCCTGAACGATCCTGGAAGGAAAACAACTTTCACACTAACAATCCTGTTTTTCATACTATAACAAAATACATTGAGATAGATCACAGGTTTATTCGCGATCACATTCAAAGCAACAATATACAACTTCTTCCTATCAACGCAATAGATCAACTTGCTGACATATTTATCAAGCCACTATCAACACCTTGATTTACTCAACCTGATGATCACTCCGGATTCATCAGCTTATGGGGGAATATTAGAGTATAAAGGAAATGACACTTAAAGATCAAGATGAACACGTGGACACTCATGGGTTATTATTGTAATCCAATTCTTAGCATACACGTGTAAGTATACTTAGATGTGCTCTATATATACCCTTGTTTATCTCTGTTCTCAAAAATAAAATCTTTAAATGGGCTTGGGAGCCCAAAAGGCCAAAGCCCATTCCATTCCACAAAAATGATGTACATAAGGAATTATTATGGAACACACTCAACCACCCCATCAACATGGATGAACTCAACCATCTACGAGGAGCCGCTGCCAGAATTGAAGCCGAACAAGTTTTTACACTAATGAACGAACTTCGTACTCTATTTCATATATACGAGAATAAATCCAAATACTGTAAATTATATGCTGGTGTTCTTACTCTTTCTGTTATCATCTATCTTGAGTTTGTTCGTGATATGGTAAAGTAGATCAAGAAGTTCTTCAGGTAATGTTGTTCTTCAGTTTGGCCTTGTTGGAATTATTGAATTGCCGTTTTATGCACTTTTGGTGCGTCTTCAGCCCTTAAGATTTAATGTGGGCAAACTTTTTGGCCTCTATTGAAGGGCATCTCTAATCGAAAAACTCAAATTTTATTTCAAAATGTAGTAATTCATCTTCAATCGAATTTCAGTTCTTTCTCCTCTTTCGTGAGCTTCTCGGCAAATCCTGTCACAAAAAAATTTGGCGTATGTGAATAGTGCAACATCAATATTGACATATCATTGTTCATCTACTTAGCGTCACATTGTTCATCTACCAAATTTTGACAAGAGATTTAGCGTTAGAATGAAGCGAATAACGGACGTCATACAACTTATATAATTCGGTTGGAGATGGTGGAAGGTCACATTTGTTTCTTTGCCCAATATCCAATTATAAATTTTACAATTATTTTATGAGTCTTATTTTTTAGTACTTATTTGTAGTTTTTTGTATAAAAGATTTTATAAACTCATTTATAAATTAAAATTATATAATTTATGTTATTTAAATTAATAAATTATATATTTTTCAATTTAAAAAAGAGTTAGTCTTAAAAGATTTGAAATGTGGTTATAATTGGTATTCAATGAATCTGTCACAGGTCGGAAAGCTATAAAACCCCTAATTAATAGACTCTTATAAAAATGTTAAAAAGAAGAGCATACTGACCCAGGCTGTGGCCCACCCGTTCATTTTCTCCACGGCTTTCTTAGACCGTTGATTCCCTTCTACAACGATCGCTGCCCAGGGACCCATCCTACATCAGACGATCAACTGCCACGAAAGCTGGCCGGTGCGGTATACGACTTTAATAGCCGTTGGATTGAAAGTGGGGTAGCCGGTGAATAGGCAAGCATAAAAAGAGGGCCCCTTTAGGTTTCCACTCCCACTCTTTTGCCCCTTTCCAACCCAAACCTCCAATCGTCTCTCTTGACGTTTTGATTAGAAATGGATTCTCAATTGCTGGACGAGGAGGATGACAGAAGGAAGGCTGACGCTGAACCGGGCGGCGGCGGAAGTGCAGCGTCGACGGAGACGACTACGCACCGCTTGATTATGCCGAAGCCAGAGCCGATGGAGTTCATGGGCTCGCTTCCGCTTATGAAAAGGCAGCCAGGGCGGAGCAAGGACCGCCACACGAAAGTGGAGGGCCGTGGTCGAAGGATCAGGATGCCGGCCGCTTGCGCCGCTAGGATCTTCCAGCTCACTCGTGAGCTCGGGCACAAGTCTGACGGAGAGACCATTCGGTGGCTCCTCCACCACGCCGAGCCCGCAATTATCTCCGCCACCGGAACTGGAACCGTTCCGGCCATCGCTACCACTGTTGATGGAACGCTCAAAATCCCCAGCGAGGTTTCGTCGGCTCCAGCCGACCGACGCGGTGTAACGACCACATCGTCAGTAGATGGAAGGAGGAGGAAGCTGCAGCCGATGAGGGCGGCGTCGAACAGTGGGGTTTCGTTGTCCACTGGATTGGCCCCGATCCTTGCAGCGCCCGCTGTGGTTCCGGTGTTGGCGTTTGGCGGTGGAAGCGCGCTTCCAGGGGCTAGTCCTGTTTGGATGATTCCAAGTAATTACGCGCTCGGCGCCGGGCCGTCGACGCCGGTGGCCGCACCTGTATGGACTCTTCCGACGCCGCCGCATATTATTAAGTTCACCGGAAGGCCCTTCAACGCTGGCGTTGCATTACCCGGTGCCGTGGAGCTAAACCTAGCAACAGCTGAAACGGATGCCCAGACAGCGAAGCTAGCTAAGACTGCTGGTCCACTAAACGCCGAGCTTCAACTAATGGGCGAAGCAATGGATCAGAACCGTGGGAAAGCAGAGTACGGGAAGGATAAGAAAGGGGAGGAACAGTACGCGAGGGACAACGATTCGGCGGAGCCGCTCGCCGGTGGTTAGAGTTTAATTTTGTTGATTAATTTGCTGCTAATCATTTTAGTTATTAACTTAATTACACATTAGGGTTTAATTCAAGGTTTTAAACGCGATTTACGACTAGCTCGAATTTCCATAGTTTTGATTCTTTAATATTTTAATTATTTATATATAAAAAATCATTTTATTGATATATATTATTTATATAAACGACATTCAACTATTCAAGTATTAACTTTCTGTAATTTTTGGCTTGCGAAATTGTGTCACGAAAGCCTGTTCAAAATTTGTTGAGTCTTAAAATTAATATCTTAAAAATTTTGAGAAGAATGATTATTTAAATTTTATATTATCTCAAAATAATCTCAATATTTTTGACATTTTTGTCACTGAATTTTATTTTTATAAGATAAAGTATTATGTCAAGATATCCTATTAAAATTTTGCAACGATGAGTTACAAAAATTTTTATGAAATATTTAATATAGAAATAATTAAATTTTTTAATGATTTTAAGTAAAATTTCACTTTTTTGGATGTTCTTATTATGATTAAAATATCTTTCAAAAAAGTTTGAATTTATTCTAAAATGAAGATAATATATAAATAATTACCAAAAATTATATTACATTTATCAAATGCGACCCAAAGTTTTTTCCCTTCCAAAGCGTTAAGTCTAATTCCATTAATTTTGATTCTCGCAAAGATTTTTTATCGTCGCAATAGATCCCCGCCTGTAACATGTTTTCAGTAGTTATGAGTAAACATAATTAAAAAATAATAATAATTAGAAACTTTCAATTAATCTCTTTATAGTTTTTATATAAAAATAAAAAAAACAATGGCTTGTATAAAATTGTTATTAGTATAACGAAGTCTTAAATAAACAATTAATTTCTATCGAAGTATAAAAAAAAACTTATTTTTTGCGTTTCACAAAGAAATTACTTTAGAATTTTATTTTTTTCACTGCTTTGTTCGTTTATTTCCCTTTATTTTGAAGGAAGCAGTTGTCACGTTCACACGTGCGTGATATATTAATCGTCCACGCTTTTACGTTATTAAGTAAAGTGGGGCGATGGAACGGTGGGACCGTGCATTGGTGGGGTGTGGGCCCGCAGTTGTCCGTCATGTGACGGGCGTTGGGACCCTTGATGTGGGGCCACGGCGTCCTCGATGAACCGTTTAGTGGGGCTCGGATCGTTAGGATGAAAGAAAGGTTAGTTGGGTCCACGCGCGGTAGGGCATTTGAGACGACACGCGTCCTCTCCATTGCTGGAAGTCGGACTAGGTGGGGACCAGGACTCCCTAAGTTTCACACGTAGTGGTGTGTCGTGTGTTCTTGGTTATTGCTTATCCAAAAAAGTAGATTATTGAGTTTTTTTTTTTTCCGAGAATAGGGGTTCGGGCAACTTCTTTCTCTTTTTTTAAATAAATTTTTAATTTAAAAAAATTTGACTAAAAATTTATTTAAAAATAATAAATATCTCAAATAAGAATATATATGATATTTTTAGATAAAATTAGATTATATTCATCAAGCCTAAAGCTGGATAACTTTGAGATAATGTTGGAAAAATGAATTTTAATCGAAATTTTTAATTTTTTATTTAATCGAATAATTTATATTAAAATAAAACATTTTAGGATATTCCAATGAACCCAAACATTTGATGGCACTTTCAGTTGCTCCATTCGATTGTCATTTTTTTACTATTCTTATTGCGTGAACAGTCGCATATTACCTACCAAATTTTTCTTTTCTCAGGATTTGCAAGAAACGTGAAAGAGGAAAAAGACAGTTATCTTGCAGAAGTGCAAAATAGAGTTCAATTGGAGATGAATCACGATTATTTTTTAGTTTACTTATTTTGGAGTGAAAAAAATGAGATTTTCGTTGGAGATGCCACTTAGGAATTTATTTATATATATTTAAATTTTTCATTTATATATTCACATTTAAATTTTACTATTGCGTCACTTATGATTGTTCATTTTAGACCTGAAGTTCCTCCTAAAACCCTGAAACAAAGACTAGAAATCACAGCAGGCACCAATGATGGTGATGGCAAGATTTGGCGCATGAGCTTTGTTGCGTTTGGAATATTCGAACTAATAAATATATAGTTTACGTCTTAGATTGTACGGAAGATCCAAGCACACAATCAGTAAGTGAGAGGGGATTGTAGCGTTTCATAAGAGACACCAAGTTTTTTACGTGGAAAAACCCCTAAAAAGGGGAAAACCCACGGGTCCTAGACCAGTTTGAATGAATCCACTAAAATTTGTAGTCGATATTACAAATGAGACACTTCTTGGAGAAGGCTTGGCATTGATGTCACAAAGTACATCATATAGAGTGTATTAGATCGGTGGGAGTTACAATAGATGTATTGTTTTGTCAGCACGACCATAGTCGGTAGGATGGAGGTCGGAAGGACCATAGTAGGCGACGGAGGTCGGAAGGACCGTAGTCGGCAGGAGACTGGGGTTAGAAAGACCGTTGTAGTAGGGCGGTACTCTGGTAGAACTTTAGGCATCAGGTAGTGGCCCAGCAGAAGTCCGGGGCTCAGGTGGTGTTGCGACGAAGGTGATGGCCTCTGGCGAAGGTGAGGGCCTCAGGTGGTGGTCCGGCGAAGCTCCGTCGGTGGTCCGTGAGGCTCCGGCGGTGGTCCGGCGAGGGTCCGACGGTTGTCCGACGAGGCTCCTGCGGTGGTCCGGCGAGGTTTCGGCGCTGGTCAAGGAGGAGCTTCTTCCTTCTCTCCCTTCTCTTCTTCCTTCTCTTCTCCTCTTCTCTTCTTGATTCGGTCCCCTCTCATGAGAAATGAGGGGTCTATTTATAATTTTTCTGGAGTGGTATAGCCCGTAAATAGGTGTGAGATCAGGGGTAAATAGGGAGTGGCCGAATGGACAGCCGATATTGAATCCCTTGATCATGCACCGTTTTTTGGACATTTGAAGGCTTTAGTGATGTCGGAATTCGGAGATCTTGGGCTCATTGGATTCGTCTCGTCGAGCCGCCCGATTCGAGTATAAGCTCGTCAAAATAGGAAACCGTTTGATAACTCAAATTGTGATTCGAACCTTCCAACAGCACTTCGAGTCTTTGATTTGTGCTCATTTGGGCTCGGATTGAGTCGAATTTGGTGTCGTTGGATTCGTATTTCCGAGACGCTCAGTTTGACTATAAGCTTGCTAAAATCAGAGTTCGGGTTTATCCGGATTTAATTTCTGAAGTTTCCAATTGCAACTTGATTTTTTGCGCTGAGATTTGTGCCCGATCAAGATAATTTCATTATGACGTATACGCTTACTCATAAAATGTGGCACGGCGATATTAAAAAAATGTGTTATTGGTGTTAATTTGGGTGTTACATGATGTGGATGGTGGAGTTTTGGTGTGAAATATGTGCGTTTTTTTTTTCAGAATTGAAAACAAGTTTTAATTAACTGTTAGAAAAAAAAATTCACAAAAAAAGAAAATTTTGATTTACAATTAAAGAATCAAGCCAATTAAATGAGTTGAACTCGAGCTTTTCAAAAGAGCTCGAGCTTGGTATTAAGAGTTAAACGAACCAAGATTGATAGGGTAGATATATACTCGACTCGACTCGTTTATACCCATAATATTTGTGGGTGCGTGTATGTAAATCCTATTATTTTTATTTTGTGTGTTATTGATTTTACATATTATATATTATTTCTCAATATATTTAAATTATTAGATTATATAATTAAATTATTTGACAATATTATTAAATTATAAAATAGTACAATTCAGTTACTAGATATCACAAATATAATAGTATATAAAAATATTATGTTATCTAATAATTTAGTTATATTATTTAATAATTTAGATGTATTGAAAAATAATATGCAAAGTTTAAAATTAAAAATATATCTAATAAAATTACCATCGTCCAAATATAAAATCGTCAAGTTCTGATATTTATAGTTTATAATTAAAACTTAAAAGGATAAGTTTATTTAAAATCTTTCTATTTATGTGTTGTTGATCAGCAAAGGTTCTGTAAAACTATTATTGTGCGCTCTGAAATGTTCCTAACATTTATGTGTTTAGAATTCCATCAACAAAAGCTATGCAACTATAAGTTGATCCTATGCTTTTCCACCAATGAAAGAAAATATTTTAGTCGTGATATATCATCAAAAAAATTATGGCACGAATCTCAAGGGAAAATCAAGTTGAAACTTCAAAAATTAAACGTAGACCATCTGAACTCCGATTTCATCAAACTTAAATTCAAACTAAACGCCTCGAAAATATAACCCAACGACACCAAATTTGACTCAACCCGAGCCCAAATGGGTCCAAATCAAAGACTCGAAGCATATTTAGAAAGTTCAAACCTTAATTTGGATGACCAAACTGTTTCTAAACATGACATGCTTATAGTCAAATCGAGTGCCTCGACGTGACGAATCCAACGAGCCCAAGATCATCAAATTTTGATATCATTAAGACATGCAGATGTCCAGTAAATGATCAAGAGATTCAACATCGGCCATCCATTCAAACCACTCCTAATTTATCCTTGATCTTGCACCTATTTACTGGCCATGCCACTCATAGAAAATAATAAATAGGCTGCATGTACATTTCTCATGGAGGGGGACCATGAAGCAAGGAGGAAAAGAAGGGAGGAGAGGAAGAGAAATCAGAGATTTCTTTTGCCACCAAGCTCCTCCTCGACCACCTCTCGGCCACTGCTCGTCGCCGAATTTTCATCAGATTTCTACCTTACGCCGGATTTCCGCCAGTCGCCATATTCCTACTTGACCCGGGACTTTCGCCCGTCTCCAGACTTTCGTCGGATTTTTACCCTACGCCGAACTTCTGCCCGTCGCCAGAATTTCGTTGGAATACCTGACATCGAACTTTCACCCTTCACCGAATTTCTGTCAATCGTCAAACTTTTACCCGACACCGAACTTTCACATGTCGTCAGACTTATGTCTATCATCGGACTTCCACCAGACAACGAACTTCCGCCCGTCTCCAAACTTTTGTCAGTCGGCGAACTTTTGTCAGACTTCTACCCCAAGGAAGGGCCTCATTTGTAATTGACTGTATATAATAGTGGATACATTCAAACTGAGTCAGGCCCGTGGTTTTTCCCCCATTGATAGTTTTCCACACGAAAAAATATTGGTCTCTTATGAATATTGTATGATATATCTCTCTCTTATCTGATTGTATGCTAGATCTTCGTATAAAGCTAAGACGTTAAAATTAATATTTCTCTATCATCACGAATATTCCAGGACGCAACAAGTTGAATGTTTTCTATATAAACTAAAAATTAGAAGTCCTTAGTTCAAATTATATTATAAATTTGGCTCTAACGTCTATTTTTTGAAAATATTTAAAAACCTAAAACTGCACTAAATCAGTTCCCCGGGCTCAAAATGTGAGAGCTCGTTCCTTTGTTTTTTTCTTTTTGGATCTGATTTTTTCTCCCAGGATCGTCCAGGACGATTTGGGATCGTCCTGGGACGATCAATGCATGGCAAAATCCCGAGAGCAAGGGTTTTTGGCAAACTAATTATCGGCCTGAAATATCGTCCTAGACGATTGGATTTTGTTCACATCGTCCTGGACGATGTGGCGATCGGCCGGGCCGATCAGACTGATGTTATAAGGAAATCAGCTCGATTTGAGGAGAGAGAAAAACTTTTTATAAAACAAAATATCTGAGGAGAGAGAAAGAGAATATATATATATATATATAGAGAGAGAGAGAGAGAGAGAGAGAGAGAGAGAGAGAGAGAGGATCGATGCAAAACCTTCCCTCTTTTAAGATGAATCATGACTGTCTTCTCAATTGATAGTTCTTATCTATAGATTTCATAACTTATATATGTTGGAGATATTTATGTAATTGAGTGAACTAGTCCTCTGTTTTAGCTTTACATCATTCTTAATACCTTTAACAGTGCCTTCAACCTTTACATGAAATTTCATATTAGCATGACCAATATTATATTATGCGCATGATCATTTTAGGTTTTAAATCTACAACATTTCCTCTTATTTATATCATATTTCCTCTCGCTTCAAAACCTATTATCAAAACATTTTATTAATTGCTTCTAGATTTGATATACTTTTTTTCTATGGTTAGAAGCTCAAAATTTTCTCCATGGATAGGTGCCTTTAGCTCCTTAAAACCATATTATTTGGTAGTTTTTTTTTTCTTTCTAATTTAATATCCTCATCATTATTATAGGCATAAACAAAAGGATTAGTACTTATATTACGTAGATTCCTCTAAATGGTTCCCTGGATAAAAATATGCAAGTAATTGTTTAAAGGTATATCACCTTATCTTAGACAATTGGTAGGCTAAGCACCTCCTCATTATTAACCTTACATCTTAATTAAGACTTGCTTACAAGGTTATGAAGGGAGAAAGATTTTTTACCTATGGGTTCCTACATATTATCCAACCATTCATATTTAGAAGTCAATAAATAAAATAAAAAAAAAACAAATCCTCCCCTTTGAGGAAAAAGTAAATATTTCTTAGATTGTGCAATTATTTCTTTCTTTTTATAGCCTTTTTATAGCCTTTAGGTGGATGATAAGAAAATTTATCAAATATTTGATAATTTCATATTTAGAAGATGAGATCATTAGAGATTCACAATCATCCTATTCCTTCAGCAAGCCGCTACGCATTGGGTTATGTACACTAAAAATTATTTTAATTATTTTTGAAAAATAGACATTTTGAATAGCGGCATTATATTCCCAAAAAAATTGTATAGGGATAAAAAAGTTTTATAAATCCATTATTTAATCTTTTTAATCTGCTAAATTTTTTTTAAAAATGATAATAATATAAAAAATTTATGAAATATATATAATATAAATATTATTCTAAAAATAAAAACATGTTGGTTGCAAGGGAAAATTTCATGTTTTAAATTTAGAAAATAAACTAATGTACGAAGTCACCATTTCCCACAATAAAATAAAAGATAAAAAATAAGCACCTAAAACGCATAAACTTAGATAAAAGTAATTAAAAATTCAAAGCAATCCACTCACTAAACCTTCAACGTCACCACAATTGGACTCCTCACCACGCGTTTCGCTGACACCCATCTCAAACTTCCCTGCGCCCATCTCCGCAATTCCGTTGCACCATCAATTCTCTTGAAAGTCACAGAAAAGCTTTTCTCTTCCTCCACCTCTCTGAACTTCAACTTCTGCGGCTTCACCTTCACCTTAACACCTTTTGGACTCTCAACTTCCACCTTATATCTCGACCCAGCCTCCCCTACATTCGTCACCTTCCTATTCACCGTCATCTTCGTTCCATTCATCGCCACCAAAATGGAAGGATAGTTCAGCTCGGCCTCCGCTATTTGCCCCACTCGAGCGCAGCTCACTTCCCGTCCGGCAATTATTGTTGCATCGTCGTCCGAATATCCCACGCCGCAGATATATCGAATGTAATCATCGCCGGAGATGTTGTAGACCAGCCCCGGGTCTATCGCTTTCTGCGGGTTAACGTGCCCAGCACCCAACGCGAAGTAGTCCGCAGGCTTCAGCTTCTCGTCCATGATTGGCTTGCCCCTATCGTCCACCATGTCAGCCGTTGTCATTATGGAGGATTTGATCGCTGCGGGAGACCAGTTTGGGTGAGCCTTTTTTAATAAAGCCACCACTCCTGAGATATGCGGCGTCGCCATAGACGTCCCTGAGATGATGTTGAATTCAGCCTCTCGCCGGCTCTCGCCGTTGTGGTTACTATCTTTGCTAATAGGCCTGGGCCAAGCGGCTAGCACGTTGACGCCAGGGGCTATGATATCCGGCTTAAGAATCCCGGCGCTTGACAAGCTGGGACCTCTTGATGAGAAATAAGCCACCATTGGCGCCGAAGGAGATGAATTATTACTTATCACTGTTCCGCAGAACTCTATGGAGGCGGTCGGATTGATAGCCGAGCCGGCGTATGCGGAGATTTTAGCTCCGTCTTCGAAGGTGACTGAAGAAGAAGGCATTGATTGGAGATCAAGCACGATCGTTGCGCCCACAATTTTATTATTCTTGAGTATGACCGCCACTCCCCCTGCAGCCTTAATCGCGGGGATATTGGCGACTGATTCACAGAGAACTATCTTCCCTTTCAGGCTTGCGGCAGGGTGTTTATCGCATGAATTGGGCGCAATTAGCTGAAATTGTTGCCGAGATGAGAATTTTCTTGGCTGAAACAGAGCTTCCCCCACAAACACTTCCCCGTTCCCGAGACGCACAACGGCCTTGAGAATCCGGTTCAACGTTGAAGCTCCGACGGTGATAAGCCACGGAGCTTCGTTGGAGAGAGATCCCGAATACGGCCCATCGTTACCTGCGGCGCAGACAACCGTAATTCCTTTCTGAAAAGCGCGGAAACCCGCAATGGCGATAGGGTCAGTAGCGAAAGAAGCTGAGCCGCCTCCCAGGGAAAGGGAAGCCACGTCAATGCCATCTTGTATCGCAAAATCGAACCCCGCGGTTATATCAGCTCCGCTACAGCCTTCTAGATCGCAGACTTTGTAAATTGCAACGTGCGAGCGCGGAGCGATGCCGGAAGCCGTGCCGTTGGCTTGACCAACCACATTAGCGTTGCCTACGAAGTTGCCGCCGGCAGTGCTTGCGGTGTGAGAGCCGTGGCCGTGGAAGTCAGAGGCATTCTTTCCGACGAAGCTGCGCGCGCCGATGAGTTTATTGTTGCACGGTGCGGAGGGTGGAAGCTGGCATGGTGATTTCCAGTGGGGAGGAGCTGAGGGAATCCCGACGTCGGCGAAAGAAGGGTGGTTGGAAGCGATTCCAGTGTCGAGCATTCCGATGATGATGCCTTCGCCTTGGTTGGAATGGTGCCAAAGGCCGGTGTTTGAGCGGAGTCCAAGGAAGGTGGGGGTGTGGGTGGTCGTCAGTTTGTAGGTTGGAGTTGGATAGGCGCGGAGGAAGCCGGGTTTGGATGACATGGAAATGGCTTCCTCTGCGGTGAGCTGGGCGGCGAAGCCGGTGATGGCTTCGCGGTAAGAGTAGAGCAAGCGGGAAGAAGAGGAAATGGTGGGACTTGCGGGGAGGAAGGAAAGGTAGTATCTTTGGAGTCTGGTGTTGTCGGACTTGAAAAGGTTGTTCGGGCGGCGTACATGGACGATGTAGTTTTGGAGGGAGGATGAGTGACCAGAGATGGCAAGGAAAGGGAAGGAAAGGAGGAGGAGAAGGGTGGCCGATGCCATGAGTAGATTGTACTACTTGATTGTCGGTTTGCTGTCGGGTAGGAAGGTGAATGACAGGTGTTTAATATTTATAGTGTTAAAAAAAAAAATGGGAGAATGTTTTTGGAAGGAGGAAAAACTGAAGAGACATAAAATTACATAAAGGAGGGGGATGGAAACTTCTGATTCTACAGATAATTAATGAATTCGCATTAACAGACGTATAGTTTTTGTCCACGTTCAATGGAAAAACTGGATTCAAATTCTGGCTTGTTCATGCACGGAAATATTGGATTTAATGTTTTTTTTTCTATTTAATATTAAGTAAAAGTATATTCATATTTTTCACTGCTATATATTCTTCTTCCTTTATAGACGATAGACAATAATTTTTTATTTCGTTCGCAATAATTATTCAGCGGTTACAAAATAAATTCTATCCAGGAAAGCGCAGAGAAGTGGGCGCATACTCACTAATAAATTCATAAAAGTTTTTAAGAACAATCATTGGCTGAAAAAGATTCTTCGTCTTGCTCATATTGAGACTTTCAGTTTCTGACGTTGCACCTATCAACAAGTACCTTGTGATGAAAGGAATTCTAATTTATTGTATTCTTTAACATTTTATAAGAAATATCATCGATGAGATTTCTATCAATATTTGACGCCGGAGTTGAGCCGCTTAATCATGTTAACTTCAGGATTGTTAAATCTTAGTATAACTATATAGATATAATGTTTTTTATGATGGCATGTAATCTCTTATGTTGATTCCTTTGGCTATAAATATATAACCAACTCTTATATGGCCATATTGGAGATGAATAATATTTGAGTTCTTACTCAGTTGTTTTGGGTTGCTGTATCATAAAGGATTTCATGTGGTGATCCTCACCCAAAGAATTCTTGGGTTATGTGTGGGCTGCCAGTTCATGCACCTCGTGTGTTATATATATTGAATAAAGAAACGAGTACTTTGTGATAAGGAATAATCAAATAAGAACCATTTACTCACTAGAAATGATATATCATCAAAAACTTATCTTGATAGGGAACGAATCTCGAGGCAAAATCAACCCGGAAACTTCAAAAATTAAATTCAGGATCACCAGAACTTCGATTTCAGCAAACTTATAGTCGAACTGAGTGTCTCAGAAACACGAACCAAACGACACAAAATTAAATCAATCCGAGCCCAAATGAGCCCAAATCAAGCACCCAAAGTGCTGTTGGAAAGTTCATACAGCAATTTGAGTTACCAAATGGTCTCCGATTTTGACGATCTTATAGTCGAATCGAACGGTTCGACGAGACGAATCCAACGAGCCCAAGATCGCTGAATTCGAACATCATTAAGACCTTCAAATGTCTTACGAACGGTGCATGATCAAGGGATTCAATATCAACCGTCCACTCGACCACTTCCTATTTGCCCCTGATCTCACACCTATTTACAAGTTATGCTACTCCATAAAATCTATAAATAGACCCCTCATTTCACATGAGAGGGGCCACAAGTAAGAAGCAAGAAGCAAGAAACAAGAAGAAGAGAAGAGAATGATAGAAGGGAATAACTCCTCCTCGACCACTACCGAAGTTCTGCCCGACGCCCGAGTGACGCCGAAATTTTGCTGGGTGCCCGAGTGACGCCGGAATTCTTCCCAAGTGACGTCAGAATTCTGCCCGACGCCAGAATTCTACCAGACTTCCAAACGACGCCAAAATTCTGCTCAACTTCGGAACGACGCCAGAACTCTGCCCGACTTTGTAACTGATTTTCAATCCTAAAAGATTTATTGTAATCTGATTGTCCTAAATTTTAAGGACGAGTCAGCCTCCTGTATTTCAAACAAACACTAGTGAAACTTTTTCAACTGGGCGTGACCCCGTGGTTTTTCCCCTTTTAGGGTTTTCCACGTAAAAATCCTGGGGTTTCTTTTTCTTTTCTGTTTGTGTGTTGGATATCCGTACAACGCTGAGACGGAAATTTACTAACTCTATCTCCGCGTATATTCTAGCTCGCAATAAGAAATATATTACTTTCTTCGCTAAATATTTTTCTACATACACCCCCTCCCTCTTCACACCTCCATTTTTTAAGAATTTATACCACCTGATTCCTATTCCAAAAGTCACATTTCCATCTCAAAAATTCATTTTTGCATAGTAAAAGTGGAGAGAAAGGAGAGAAAAAACGCCCAAAGTCCTGTGAATTTTGGTGCTCAAAATAGCTCTTAAGAAGAGGAAGCCACGGTAGTTGATGATGGGAATTTATTTTGACTTAAGCGAATAAGAACTGGAGATTTAGGTTTAGTTTGAGACATTATTTTATTATTTTTTAAATTTTTTATTAAAATTTTATTTTAATAAGCAATAAAAAAATTTTCCTAAATGAAAGCGTAAAAAAAAACTTGGCCTTATCAAATAAACTCGCATGAGCATTCTCATTAATAAGATGCCTTTCAATTGTGGCCAAGGCTAGCGTTAGAAATTCATAAAATAAAATAAAATAAAAAAGCTGTCCATATTTTTAATATTATTATTGTCATTCTCAAAAAAGTAGTTTTTGTCCATATTTACATGGCTTTGCCTATTCCTTCCACAATTTATTTATGGTTCCACAATTATTTATTTGTTGTTTTATAAAGAAAATAGTTCAAAAAAATAATTAAAAATTAAATATATAAAAATGACCATCCTTCATATAAGACTTTATTTTGTTACGCTTTTTTTATTGTTTTTATCAACAGTTTTTTAGTACAAAAAATTTTATACTAAATTTTTTTTAAAAAAATGCAATAAGAAAACTATCTAAAAAAAATGTAAGTGCTGATAATGGATCCTAAAAAGCTGAATTTATATCAATATATAAGATTCAGGTGGTGTTTGATTCAAGGAATTAGAACTAGGTCAAATAATCGAGATCAGATTCGACTCAAATCTACCCAAAACTAATCTCTTAATTATTTGATTTTTTAATGAAAATGAATCACATGAAATTCTAATTTATTTTTCTCCAAACATTTTCCATATAAATTGAATATATCTGATCAAATTTACCCTAATCTATCACAATTTACTATTTTCCATGCAATTTAGATTGAGATCGAGTTGATTATATTTATTTTGGGTCCCATCGGGACAGTTTTTTGAAAAAATACCGAGTTTTTCAAAAAACTCGGTATTTACACTTTTTGACCTATTTTTGTCTAAAACCGAACCTTCCTCTACATCCAGTGAAAGGACCTAATAATTGCTCCTTGATTTATAATCAAAACTTGTAACAAACAAACCAACAGATTAGGATAAACTTCGTTTTTTTTTTTTCATTCTTATTTGCAGCAAATCGCTAAGACAAGAAAGGCAGCAGTGGACTACATAGTTTTTAGGGAAAGTTATAAGCAGGTACGGGACCATTAGCCAATCTTCGGTTCCTTGCAAACTTTTGCATGATGAAAATGAGTTGGCGGATCAAGCCACAGCCATGCACGATTGCAGCAAAAATCATGGGTTATGATTCCATCCGCGCAGCTCACGTAAATAACCGTTACATCACTTCTTTCCGACTCGATTAAAGCTTTTGCAGCTTCCGCTTCTACTCCGAGCAACTCCGGCCAGCTTTGTTTTAACCCTGTCGTTGAAGTACAGGCCATCATAATTTCTTAGAACAAAAGGTTTACTTAATCAATTTCATATGCTTAGACTTCATTTGAGATCACTTTTTACTGCTTCTTAAAATAAATTTTTAATAAAAAAGAAATATTTTAAAAAGCATTAAAAAACCGCGCTAAATGAAACCTTAATATGTGTAACTAATAGTAAGCTAATCAACTATATTTTAAGAAAAAAAGATAAATAAATGAATATTTTGGTCGTTACTTGTAATCACCAAGGTCAATTAAATACATAAGTTTCAAACACAATATAACTTGGTTGTTAGTCAAAGCTCTCAACTAATAGATCAAATGAGCTACATGCGTAATTGAAATGATTCAGAGGGATGAAGTTCATCTTGGTCTATTGGTTGGGAGTTTTAGCTACCAACTAAGAGATCTTGGGTTCGAATCTTGCATATGTGATTTATATTCGAGTTTGATTTAATTGACCTTGGTGATTACAAGTAATTTTATTTGACACTTTTTGCAATTTTCTTTGATTTTATTTGTGACAATTTTCTTGCTTCTTTGTTTTTAAAATCCTAACTACTATTTCTATTTGATCCTTGCTTTTCACTATTTTCATAAAATTTTGGTACAATAAAACTGCTTAATTATTATAATAACTTCAAGAAATGAATTTTTGTACAACACTTTTATAAAGTAGTGAGGAAACCATCTCAAGCAAGCCTTTGGGACTTTTGGGACTTTTTATAAAAGTGTTGGTAAAGGATTTATGCGGAAATTAATTTTTTTAAAGTTGTTAAAAATAACTTTCTGATACAGAAAATTTATATAGAAATATTATGTTATTCGCATTCACCGTGTGCTTATACTTCCATTGCAATATGTATTAAATTATATAATAAATTATACTCGAATGAATCGGAATAAATTTGAATTTTGAGTTTTAGAATATTTTTAAGTGAAAGAAGAAAATAAAATAAAATAATATTGTAAATAACCTGATGGGCATGATGATTGGCAACTAAAGCCAACAGCTGCACTCCCAGAAATTGAGACAATAAGAAGGAGAAAAAACACAGAGCGAAAAAGGCATGGATTGTTGCTCAAGTCCCTCATCTTCTTTCTTTTGCACACAATTAGAAGCATAGAAGCTTAGGAGATATTTATAGCTCAGATATTTGCCACTAATTAATGCAAAGGAAATTTATTTAATATATACTTAATGAAGCAGTCTTAGCCGAAGAAAGTCAAGCCGGCCAAGCACTCACAAATGACTTCTGCACAGCGGCGGACCCAGCAAGTTCTTATAGGGGGCCCAAATGATTTTTACAGTTGCAGCTATGTGCTCGAAGATCACGGAGAGAGTTTTAACGCTGTTAAAAATGACGTAGGTGGAGG